TTAAACATTTTATTCACAAAGTATGTTCATAATAATATTTTTGCGTGATTTTCAAAATATTACATTATTATTAAAAAAAACCATATTTTAATTTCATATTGATAAAATATTTTTAAAATTTTTCTTCTGATGTTTTTATAATATTTTTTTCTTTTTGACAAAAATTATTATAATGATAATAATTATAAATTGAATATTGTGCAGCTCGATCATTTTTTTTTTACGCGTAGAAAAGAGACTGATATGTAAATATGTAAATATGTAATGTTTCTTGCAATTTTTTATACATAAAACATTACATTTAATCTAAAAAAATTTAATCTAATAAAATTTCATTTCACGGAAGCAACATTCATAGCCATTCATTTAAATCCATACTTTTTAGAATATGTAACAGCAATATAAAAATTCTGATTTCAATTTCTAATGTGGGAATCTCAATTCTCGCATTTTTAACATAAAAATTTAATTCAAATTTTGTATATTTTTAATTAAAATTTTTATAGAGAAATCAATTTAAAATAAAAAAGCAGATACAAAAATTTAATCAAATATTAATCAAAAAAATTTATCATATGTGATATAATCAATGTGAGCACCAATATTATATACATTTGATAGAATTGACTCTGAGATAGATAGAATTATATTAATTATCTCATAGTATTTTTTGATCTTATTTAAAGCTATTGTAAAGCACATTAGAGTAGATTTGTTCATAAGAGGAAGCAACTTAATTCAATCAATTAAAATTTTCATAATATATATATTATAAATTCAACAATAAATTATAATATAAAGACTGAGCTACATAATAAAAAAGATAAATATTCATTTTATGATAATAAATGATATTGAAACTTGATAAAATTGTTCACTATAAAGATTATTTCAAAAGACAAGTTTACAAGAGTACATAGTATAAATGATTCCATTATTAGTCGATATTTAGAATTCCATCATTTGCATAGCTCAGTCTTTCAAGTCCATATACTTGTACTTGATTATCCAAGTAGGCCGTAGTCAAACGAGATACATAATAAATATAGATTGCCATAATAAATTTTTCTTTAAAAATAATTATTTGATGATATAATTTATATATATATATATATATTTATCTTATGTCAATTGAATAACAATATATAAACAAAATATTTAAAATTTAAAAAAATTTTCAAATTCGATATTTTCTACAATAAAATATAATCGAAATCTGTTAGAAGTTTGTAATAGATTTAGAATATATTCAAAAGTATAGAAGGAAAAAATTATAAGAAACAAAAGATATAATTTTAGATTATGATTAAAAATATTTGATTATATTTGTCCGATGGATTATAATTAATTCTTTGCCTCTGTTTTTTTTCAATTTGAATCAAATCTTACTGATGTTGTTTTGTCGAAGAATTGTTTTCTGGAAGAGGAGATTTTTCTGTAAGAGGTACAGGTAAAGCCTTAAGAATTGCATGTACTTCTTCCGCTACTGCCATAAGAACGAATTTAAATTGTTGTTTTGTAGCAACCATATTA